AGGCTCACCTGGCGCCCCGAGCGCCCCATCCAGGGCTCCTCGCCGTAGGAGAACATCTCCCAGAGGGTGACCCCGAACATCCACACGTCGGACGCATGGGAGAAGACGCCAGAGCGCAGGCTCTCGGGGGCACACCTGGGGTGCAGGAGAAGACACGTCAGAGAGAGAGAGAAACCTGCAGGACAGCGCCCCCTAGTGCCAGCCCCGCCTGCCAGGGGAGAGCGCCCCCTGCTGAGCCCCCCCCGCCCCACTCCCTGCCCCACAGCGCCCCCTAGTGTCGCCGTGGGGCCAGCCCTGCCTGCCAGGGGAGAGCGCCCCCTGCTGATCCCCCCACCCTGGTCCCTGCCTCACAGCACCCCTTGCTGAGCCCCCCGCCCCGCTCCCTGCCCCACAGCGCCCCCTAGCGCCCCCTGGGGGTCTCACCAGGCAAAGGGGATTTTGCGGTGGGCGGACATGATGTACCGGTGCCCCTTGCTCGAGAGCGCCCGCATGAGGCCGAAGTCACCGATCTTGGCGTGCTCCTCGGAGGCCAGCAGGACGTTGCGGGCAGCCAGGTCACGGTGGATAAAGAGTTTGGACTCCAGGTAAGCCATGCCCTGGGCCACCTGCACGGCGTAGAGCCAGAGCCGGTGCAGGGGGAAGGGCGGGCACAGCTGGTCGTACAGGGAGCCCAGCGGGGCCAGCTCCGTCACCTGCCCAGAGCATACCGGTGACGAGCCGGGAGAGAACCCAGGAGTCCTGGCTCCCAGCCCCCCCTGCTCTAACCCACCAGCCCCCACTCCCCTCCCAGAGCCGGGGAGAGAACCCAGGAGTCCTGGCTCCCAGCCCCCCCGCTCTAACCCACCAGCCCCCACTCCCTTCCCAGAGCCAGGGAGAGAACCCAGGAGTCCTGGCTCCCAGCCTCCGCTGCTCTGACCCACCAGCCCCCACTCCCCTCCCGGAGTCGGCGAGGGAACCCAGGCGTCCGGGCCCTGCTCACCATCTTGAGGGGCTGGCTGAGGACGACCCCGTGGAGCCGCAGGAGGTGGGGATGGTCCAGGCCACTCATGGCGTTCACCTCGTTGAGGAAATCAACCAGCGCGAGGGGGTCGGTGCTGACGTCAGAGCGGAGGGATTTCACTGCCACGGAGAGCTGGGCGGGGGGGCAGGGCGGGGGTCAGTTCCTGGTGGGGGGGCAGAGGATCTGTGGGGGTGGGGGGCTGG